CCCACCCTTGGCTATTTTTCTATGGGAAAAATACCTCCAAGGCCCTCTAATACTAACTATTCAGTTTCTCTGAGCATCAAAAGACCCTGTCTCCGGGATCGTGAGCAGATTAAAGCCCTTTGTGAAATGGATTGGGAGTCAGAAGACGCTGAGTTTGGGTCTGGCTTCTGCCACAAAACAGCACAGGGACCTCTGGCAAGTCCCTTCACTTCTCCAGGCCTCAGTTTTCTCTTAAGAAAAAAGTGGGTCATGTCTGTCTTGCGAACCAAAATTTCTCCCTTCATCCAAAATTCCTGCCTAGTCTCTGAAGTTCTCTCAGGCTGCGTGGCTCTAAAACTTGGGAAGTTTTCAGAGCTCCTTGAGCCTTAAGTACTGATGTGTAAACAAATGCAAATGAGGGGGCTATATTTGTGATGCAAATAATTACCCAGGGGGGATGGAGACCAGTTGGTTATTTTAAGTTTGGGATTTGTGGGAAGCAGCTGTGAAACTGGACTGGAAACATCAAAGCTGCAAATAAGATACCTTTCCCCAGAAGACCTGACAGCCCTAACTTAGCATTTCTCTGAGCCACTGGCTGAGTACCCAAGTTCTTTTTGTCTTTTTAAACTGCCAAGCATAGTCTCCTAAAATGCTCTACTATGAGACTTGGATTTTTCAAGAAAGTAGCTTAAGCTTTGGCAGTAATCCCTTCATACTTGCCTGTGGCCACCAACAAATCAGCGACTCACCAAACAATACACATCAAAACTGCGCCATTGCTTTACCAACAAGAAAAGGTAAAGACTGTGCATTCACTTGCTTTTCATTTTTTCTACTTTTCCCTTCCCATTATTATCTATTATTGAAGAGAGAAACCCTCTTCCCATTCTCAACTCTTCAAAAAGGCCTGAATTATTTGGCATAGCCTTGTTTCGAAAGAAAGTAACTAAACAAACAAAACAAAAAAACTCTCAAAAAATAAAAAAGAAGTTCATGATCAGTGCCAGTGAGACTGGGAGGCAGAAGTCAAAAGAGGTGGGGCTTGAAGTGGAAGAACATGGCAGGGACAGGGGACCCAGCTTCCTGGCACCGGGAGGAAAGCTGTCAGTTAAAATAGGAACCTTGGCTTAAAGGGCTAAATGGAGTCCAGTCCAGCTGTAGCGGGGAATACTATTCAGTACACAGCCATGGGTTACTGCAAAGGAAGGGCAGAGAAAGGGCGTGTTAGCCACAGAGAATTGCCAGCTCACCTCCAGCTCTCACTCTCTCACTGGCCAAACACCGAAGGCCACTGTGCCTGACAATGGGGCGCTCCTACTTCAGAGGGTTTCCCAAAGGCATTATGGGATGGCCCCCATTATCAGAATTGGGCCTGGAATATTTATAAAACATCAAATCCTTAGACTGGAGATAAAGTTAGGGACCTTTCAAGGAATAGAATAACACTTCTCTCCAGATGATAATCTCACCTCTACTTATTGGGGGGAAGGGAACATGCAAAATGCAGATTAAAATTTAGCATCACATTCACCAGAGAGACAGGAAGACTCATCAAAGCAAAACTGAAAACATTGATTCTTTGACCACTCAGTTTGGTAGTTTGTGACATGGCGTTATTATAGCCGCTACTGGCCCTGTCTTTTGGGGATGGTGTGGAGCCCTAAGGGAGATTACATAGGAGATGCCGACACGCCTCAGAATTCCTTAAGCCTATCATTCAAGACACTAGGCAGGTAATAATATTCAGGTTTATTTCCCTTTCTGCATCTGTGGGGTACCCAGAGTTCGAGAGAGAGGAAATTTATGCTATTTTCTTCAGCAGTCGTGTTTTCTGGGGCGGGGGGGTTGGTGTAGATAAACTTATTCTAGGTTTTTAACACAGCTGGAGTACAGTTACTCTGAGCGAATCAAAACTGGAAAGGGCTGAGCTGGGAGGCCATAAGGAAAAGGCAGCAAAGGAGCTCCTTCTGGAGCCCTCTGAGAAGGAACTAGGGTTCTGCTGGGAGGTAGTGGGTGCTCAGGGAAGCCCAGTGACTAGGGACTAAGGGGGACGGTCCTGCTGGACTGGTGCTTACCCAGCCACAGTGGATGCAAATACCTCGGGGAAGGGAGCAACCGTCAGACTTTGAACTGGGAAACCCGTGGTGGAGAGTAGCAGATGGGACCCTTGAACATGTTACACTCGGGCAAAGATGGGAGATGGGGAGTGGATGGCTG